AATTCCAATTCCACTTTTATCCTGAGTAAAGATGATTATTTTAGAACACGTATGTGCTATCACCTGGCCAGATATAACCACTGTATTTCAACAACTCAGATACAGTTGTCCACCTTCAGCATGCAGCGTGGCTCTCACACACACCGGTATCTACTGAAGTTATTCCAGTAAGGCCTCAACTGAGCTGTAAGTCTTTCCTGTAGTTTGTCCTACAGGAGAGAGCTGCAGTTGGATACTTCTCTGCAGAGTAAGTACAGTTCATATACACTATATATATATGCATATATATATATATATATATATATTTGCATATATATGTATATATACAGGGTGGGGTACAAAGACCTGTAAGTCTTCCCTCCCCTTCCCCGACCGGAACAACTGTGCCCTCTCAACTGCAGGAGACAGCCCCGGAGCTTCTGAAGTTTACTGGTGCTACTGGCTGGAACTGTCATGTGAGGAGGAACTGGTTGTGTGCCATAGCTGTTCTGTCACCTCACCTCTCCGGCTGTAGTGTGTGAGTTGATTGTAATCTTACAGGAGCCACCACCATGGCAATAAACTGTAGATGTCATTTCCTGTCTGCTGATCAGCGCTTCTATTTCATCCCGTGACGGCACAAACTCTCTGCATTTGGTTTTCTTCAGAGATTCGTAAGTAAAAAGTGCATATTTCTCCATTTCAGTTCCTGGAAACTGGTCACGAACCCTGCAAGACAAAGATTACTTTAAGCTGCCAGTCTGTGACATAGAAAACTTACTTGCTTACTTACTTGAGAATTTTTTTTTTTCTGAAAGTGACAAGATGCCCCCCTATGATTCTATGACCTCTGTATTCTGTGTGCTAGTTAAGTGACACACTCAAAGCTTCATCTCACTGTCAAGCAAAGTGTTCTGATGTGGTTTACACTGTGGGAAAACATATATGGTCATTTTGTTCTACAAACCCAATGGAAAGCAAAAACTCAGCTGCCTTTGTATCAGTAACTACAGGAACATTGTAATGGCTCAGATCTGACAGCAAGATAATAGTAATTATCTTGTAATCAATGCCCCTTCTGTCATTAACAGGGGCTGAATGAAGACAAAACTACACTGAGGTACAGCAGAAAAAAAGCAAATAGAATTTTGACAGCTCAGTTTTGCAGTAATGTCCCTCAGGATACTTGATTTCCATTCCTGACATTCTTGAGGATTCTCTCCAAATATTACTGAATATTCAGCAACAGCTTCAATGAACTCATTTGTGATTATTATATATTCTGTTCTATTATATATTATTTATTCACAATGAACTTTAATGAAGTCCTGATTATTGAATATTTCCAATGATAAAACACAAATTAAACTTTATTAGCTGGGAGAAGCTGGTAAGTATATGAAAAATTACAGAGATTCATTATACAAACAGCATAAAAAGATTCTTGCAGACTTACAGCAATGCTTTACAATGACTGTGCAGTGATAGTGTTGAGACCTACAAGTATTGTATCAGATAGCTGGAATTTTTTTTAATGAGAAGACTATTTTATGAGCTAAGTTAAATTACAAAAGTGAATCAAGATTGATTCGTTTTTCAACTCTAATATTTATGTAAAGCAATTGACGTATTTCGCTGATCTTACTTTGTTTGAAACACTTCTTGAACTCAAGGTTTTCACAGATATTTATAAAATAATTACGTTTAGCAAAGTGTTTTACACTAGTCCATGTTCTAGCACAAATACAGATACTACTTGAAATTACTGAAAACAGTTTGTTGCCAACGAACTGCCTTTCCTAATGACACGCTCCTTGCATTCTTCCACTGCTTTGGAGCAGAAGGAACTCCACATTCTGGATCATGCTGGGCTCACAAAAATGTTTCTTGTTTCTTTTTTCTGAACACTTGTTAATGTCTTAAAGGAGATTTGCAAATGGACCCTTTACCTCAAGTACATCTTTCAGCGCTGCAGTCTTTTACGTTCATAATGCATTCCTCACAAAACTAAGGTAAGAAGGATGAATAACATTATAGCAGGTTGATTTGGACAGCTAGAAATAAGACCTGGGCATACTGCCTGTGGATCATCTGAGCAACTCTACACAATTATAGAAAGCTTCCCCCCACCTTTTCTCAACATTATAAATAATGCATTCAGTTTAGTGCACTTTGGTTGCTTCTTCAAATGAGAATAATTCCACTGAGATCAACTCCAATAGTTTTCTTACAACTGTTTTTTCAGATTTATTCTTTAGTGTAGCCAGTTCACCACAAGACTGCACGTTGTAGTCTCACTATGAGACGTCTGAGCACGGCTACGTGTTGTGGGGAAAAAATAGTCACACTTTTTTCTTGGTCTTTAGCTGAAATCTCCTCACCTTTTGAGATGGAACTTGAGATATTTGAGGATGCTGCGACTTGGCAGAAATGTGCAACTCATGCAGGTGAGTATTTGCCAGCTATACAGGTTCCCCATGCTCCCAGGGTTAGGCACTTTATTGGTCTGCTTGATGAGCTGACAGTAGAGCTCATCTCGAAGAGGTCGTAAATCATGTCCTGTTTGGAGAATACCTTGAATTATAGGGATGGGATCAGACATAGATTCCAGCTGTTGTAAAGAGTTAAATATCTTGATTGCTTCATCTTGCAGAGTTGTGTATCCTTTGTCTTTCAGCACTACGAACAAAAAAATGGGGAGAACAGTGTTTAGACTGAGAAATGAAAGGGAGAGCACTCAGAATCAGCATGGGAATTGTTCAGTGATGCTTTACAGCCCTTATTATGCAGGATGATTTCCATTTCAAATGTATGGTGCTAACTCATTGTATGAGCTATTCTGCTAATAAGATTTATTCTGAATTGCATGAATGACCATTTTGAAATTTCTGAGAATTTAGCTTAAAATATATGTCTTGCTTGATCAGATTGTTGGTTTTCTTTGGAGAAACTTCCTTCCATAGCAGTCCACACTGCGAGAGTGCGTTGCTTTGCCACTGTCACAAGAAAGTGATAAGCTAATCAGATAGTAAGTGAGGTAAAGCAGAAGTGCCTTATGCAAAGTGACAAAGATACACAACATCATTTTTGTCTACTGCAGTAGAAGTTCAGTTAAATCCAAACAATACTAATAAGACAAGATCTCTGCTGTGAAACTGCAACTTTCTTTTCAAGTGCTGGAAAAGGCAGCGATTGGTTCTCGTACTGCAGATTATTCAGCATGGGCTCACAACTTTCACAACATACTTTAAAGCACCATGCAGTACTTGGGCTTAAGGGGTGGAAGAGATCACTCTGATGTCTGAATCAATTAGGCCTACTGGACTTCAAAGCACAAAACTGTACAGACATATGTTACAAATATTAAGCTTCGAACCAGCCTGTACTCTGTTACAGAATGTAAATGGAACTCAACTGCAAGTCAAGGCAACAAACCAAGCATCAGTCTATCTGTGGAGCTCCATTTACGATATGGAAGACTTTGGAAAGGCTTCTACCTCAAAGGAAGCTCGCCTTCTCTGTCCATGGGGAACAAGGAACTTGTGCATGGGACTAGCAGCTAGAGAGACAAGAACAGAATAGTGCCTTGCCACTGGACAGGAGGAGGAAGGGAAAGAGAAGGGAAAAGCTTCTAAGGTTTCAATTCTCCTTGTCATTTGAGCAGCAAGATATCATTTGAGTTATCAGGAATAACCTTAGCTTTTAATCAGCTGTCAACATCCCACCCACCTCCCAGAGATGAAGCTTCTGATCTGAGTCATACCTTGTTTAATACACAATTGCAACATAAGTAAATCCACTTAAGGATATTAAATTCACCATCATCAATAGCTGTGAACAATTCATTTAAAACAGACTTCGAAGTTAGTGACTGAACAAGGGATATTTAAAGACATGGTTACACCTGTTTCAGGAGTAAACAAACCACTACTTTTTCAAATCATTTCCACTCACATCTTTTGTCACGTAAGCAATACTTCCCATCACCACTGATGAATTGTTTGGAAATTGAAGCTTGTTTGGAATTGGAAGCTGTGCAATTCCCTTCACAGGGTATGAAACAAAAATGATTTGAGAGGGATTCAGGGAGACTGAATGAACTGGGTTTAGTTCTGCATTTCAGTGCCATGCTTTCATACTGTCTTCTCAGTTGCATAGGTGAGAGTAACAAATCAGCATTACAGCAGCAACAGCAATCCTCCTTTCTGTAACACCCCTGTAGGAGCATCACAAGCCCATGGTTCTCTGCTAGATAAACTGATGTTCTCTACCTTCTGTAAGAAAACAAGGAAACTTTTTTCATTGGAAAATATATATAAACCATTACTGTAATATTGCCACAGACTGAAAACTCATGTCCTACAGTTTAGTCTTTCATAAGGAAAAGTATGACTGAAAAACTTACAGTTTAGATTGATGTCCCCATATGGCAGTGGCAGTAATGGCGAGTGCAGTGGATGATGAGTGTAACGGAGAATAGGGTTTCTCTTATAGATCTGCTCAACCACGTCAGCATTCAGGCAGTTTTCCTATTGGGGTAAGAAAAGAAGGAGTTTGGGTATAGCATTAGCAGCAGTGCAATGCTTTGTGCCCTTAGGTTCCCTGTGAAAAGATTAGTTATCTGTGTAACCAGTGTCAGCTGGTAGTAACTCTAGATGTGGCTGCTGCGGCACTCTGTAGGCTATGGATGCTCACTGCCTCCTAACCTCAGTACTTGCAAAAGCCTACTTTATCTATGCCATTAAAAACTAACCACAGTAGAGCTGCAGGAGAGAAAAATAAAGTTTCATCAGTTTCCGCAAGTTTTCATTTTATAACTGTCTTATTCCAGTATTCCATGACTGGAGTTACATCAAGATGTTTGTCTTGATGTCAGTTTGATTTTAGAATTATTTATACAGCAAAACCGATCAGCTGTAATCTACAGGAACTATCATAAACCAGACAGTCCAGAAAACCAGCTGCTGTAAACCTGATGCACCCATTTTGTCAGCTAAATACTGTACTTTCTTAGCCCAGGTCTGACAAGTGGGTAACCACCGTCTTCTGTCAATGCTGAACTTCCACATATTTCTACAGCTCTGAAGAACAGCCTTCACAGACCTGAAATTTAGACCTGATAATTCTTCTCCATGGGGGAGGCTCTCACGAAAGGAAAAGGTTAGTAGTTCTCCTCCTTGCCTTTTTTAAATTTTCTGTTTGTCTTCTGAAGACCATCATCCCCTCTCCTGAAAGCAGAAATCTTCAGGAAGACCTCTTCTGGCTAACATGCAATGTCCCCAACATAAAGCAGTAAGCATTAACTGAATATGTTTCTCATCATACAGATCCATGCTTAGCCCAAGCTACCACATACCAAGAAATGAAATACAAGGAAAAAAATACAATCGCAGGAGCTAAACACAATCCCACACATCCTGGTGTGCATATTAGAGAGGACACAGCAGAAGAGGTCTGCTAACCCATGAACCCCTGTACACTACTGCCTGGTACAGCAACACCTGGTAAGCTACACAAACCAGTATGACTTCTTACTGTTTTCGTGTAAAAAAAGAAAACAACCCCAAAACAACTGTTTTCCTGTCCAAGCTGCACTTTATACTTTGTTGTTACACTGTTTAAATAGAAATTCCTTCAGCAAGTGAGTGAATATTGCTGATTCCACAACTAAGAGCCTTTTTTTCTCACCCCCACCTGTTTGTTCCTACCTTAATATCCTGAATTAGCTGCTGAGTCGGGGTATCGATTGGCGCTTTAGTGTCAATCACATTCTGGATGGCACTTGACCAGCGGGTCGCTTCATTGAGTAATTTGGTATAGAGGCGGTAGCAATGTTTGCGTCCATATACAGTCACATTCCAGTAGCCTAGGACAGCAATACAAGCTATTAATCACAGAAGCTACATCTGCAAAAATACCACAACTTCTATTTGAAAACACGTGTAGTCCCGTCGGACATCGAGTACTGAATTCTGGATTGTGTTGGCAGCTTTTCAAGAGGCAAAGAACTTGTAAGTAAGTGCCGTAATACAGACGTGGTTTTGTTAAGGAGTTTCTTCTCCTTAAAAAGGCACAAGAATAAGAACACAGTCACCTCTGTGCGGCCTTCCACTTCACCCAGTAATCACAGTAAAAGTGATCACAGGACAACATAGCGGCCTACCGTGACACAGCTGATGGGCCCTGCTTCTCCAGTCCTGTCTGTAAATGGATTATTTTGTACATGGGTCTTTCATTATCTATGGCACACACACTAACAGGTGTAATGCATGAGCTACCACTTCTATTAAAACGTCATTGATTTTACACAAATGAAGTGGCAACTATGACAAGAAGAGCGTTTCAAATCCAGTTGCCTCTCTGTATCATTGTATAGGCTTTTTTTTTTTTTTTAATGAAGCAAATTCAATTAAAGAAAATCCATTTCATCTTTCACTAGCAAAATCCTCTTTGAAGTGTTGGTGACCCCAGTGAGATTACATAGGGCTGTCAACAGTCGCTTCTCATTTGCAAACAGCCACATCTGAGCTGAAAACCAGTTCTGAAAATGCAGTGGGGAGCTGACTCAGGTGTAGCACATAGGTTAGCACATCCTTATACTTGCTCCACCAATGCTCCTCAGCATACAGAATAATGTATGAGGAGAGTGCTCTCCAGTTGTCTTTCTCCAAGTATTTGATGTGTAAAAGTTCAAGCTAACTTAGCAACAGTGCTCATCTATGATAACCTGAATGTTGGTGAGAGCAACTTTTACTGCTGTGTACATTATTACTTTGGTCTTTTGCCATTAAGTCCTTATAAAATCCCTTAGTGGCCTAGGAACTTGATTTATCAAACTGCAACTGTAATAATCTTGGACAGTGTTTGTTTATTATATGGTAGGTAGGACAGAAGGTAACAAAGCACATTTGAACCAGAGCATACAATTACCTGTCTCTTTGAAGATTTTTTCATCAGGTGGGACCACTGAACAGAGGCTGTTTAGGACCAGTGTACCCAATTTCAAAGCATTTTTTTCAGAACTCTTGTAGTAGTCCAAAGAATTGTGTGTCAAAACAAACCAACGCTTTTTTAGTTTTAATGAAGACATCTTCGGGTTGTTTTTCACTTCTTTGTGCAGCCATCCTGTGAAAAACACAATCTGAATCAAACTTTTTCTAAAAAAAAACAAAGTCAGACCAAATTAAGTTGCTAAAAGTTAGTTACATACTTTTAACAACAAAAACATTGTGTGAATTGTTTAGCTAACATATTAAACAACTTCAATTAAAATTACCGAACAGTTTAATGATGAAAGTACTGTATTATATCCATATGAAAATGTTTCAACTTTGGCGTACAGACAGAATAATTCTTTTGTCAACTCAAAAAACTGATTTTGTCCTCATTACAGTGATTTCTTACTTGGCTCATCAGGACCGTAACTGTTAATTTGTGAGTGAAGCCCATGTACAAAGATGAGGCTCCAGCACTACTATGGTGTGCTGGCATACTACAAAGACCGTACAGGGGGAACAATCTCCTTTTTGGTTAATGGCTTTTGTTCACTTTATTCAACTTGGTTCTTACCCCTCACAATGAATTCTTGTCCTTCCACTCTCGTGTCCCCCTTTGACCTCTGAAGCAGCGTTATCCAGTGATGCATCTCTTCAGGTGTGTCAGCATTACAGTGAAGAACACGATTAGCAGTAATAATCACAAAGGAGTTGGGTCTACAAAAACAAATGAAGATTGATGAAGCCTTTACAATCAATGCACTGTTTAACTCACTTGCTATCAGCATAAACACTACTCATTGTTTGCATTCTGTATTCGGATAAATACTGTCCATCTCTGTAACATTTATTTCAACAGCACTACAGCTAAAAATATCGTGCATTTAAAAAGACACAACTACTTCAGATTCGCACCAGAGTGCCAGGGCTCTGCGTGGTGGAAGAGTTTAACTTAAATTGCAACTTGTCATATCTCAAATCCATTGTGAGAAAACCCCCAATCTTTAATCAGCTTTTGATCATAATCAGAACTTTATTTCAGGGTCAGATTTATTTAGAGTGTCTGCTTCAGTGGTTCCATTAGCCAAAACCAATTGCAGTTTATAAAGCTCTGTAGTGAAACAGCATGTGAACACGGACTCTTTTATTTTTAATGCAGTGCAACCCAATTTGCAGACAGTACAATCTATTTTTAATGAGAGTTTGGCTTTTATTCAATCCTACACGGGATTCAGTGAAGCATGAAGAACTAGCCCGAGTAAACTGTGCTGACGGCTCTCTGGATTAGAGGGGCAGGTTTTTCAGCCTACAAACACTTGCTTTAACCCTTTACCATCAATTCTTTTCATCTCGGAATGCACAGAATCACAGAGGTTGGAAGAGACCTTTGGAGGTCACTTAGTCCAACTCCTGTGCTCGGGCAGGGACACCCAGAGCAGGTTGCCCAGGACCACATCCATCCACTTCCAAAGAGCTGTATCAGATGTAAAGAATGGGAATGATGCAACCTGGGCTGCCCCATGCACAAGAAAGTCGTAGATCTCCATTTTACTGTCCTGGTGTGAAGGTAATTGGGTAGAATTTAGAACCAATTAAAATTGTTTGTGGGATTGGTTCAGCCAAGTATGAAGGCACTGTCCAAAACCAGTGTGTGCTGTTTAAAAGACAGATGGAGGTCAATATAAAGTAAATAAAATAACTAGGAGGTAAAATTAGAATACTGGTTGAAGAGAGATTACAGTAAATCAAGTAATGTGAAATGTGTGTAAATAAGTTATAACTATGCAAATACAGAAAAATAGAAAGAAGGAATATATTTGAATATTTCAGTAGCATTTAATATTTAATATACTTTAATAAAACTCAGCAGTGTGACAGAAGTGGGTAAGGAGAGATCAGAACTTAGTGTTTTGGTCACAGACACTTTGGTGCTGTAGTAGTAAATTATTCAGAAGTGGCGGATGAGGGAAGACACAGAGATGTGAACTGAACAGAGTAATTTTGCTGATCATTGAGGAGAAGTCAGCTTTAGACTGAGCTGTGTGAAGCACGCTCTAGAAAGCGGCGTAATGTGATTCCAAAAATAAAGCAATAGCAAGAGACATGAAAAATGATAGAGTTAAGGTATAAACTAAAGCAGATTAAGCTATCAAAGGAGGTTACAACCGACAGTCTCCAACCTTCCAGGTCCCCTTTTCCCCAGTTTAGGAAAATGAGAGAAGCCCCATCTATCTTTCTGAGCATGGATTCAAAGAGCTCCTTGTTCAGCTTCTCTCTTCTTAGCTGCACCAGTGGTTTCACATTAGTCAAGATAGAAATACTTTATTGCGTACATCAGTCAAATTAATTTCCTAATTGAAAACCTTTCCATCCCTGATTTACATTTCTAGAGAAAAAAAAAAAATTACAAGAAAAAAACAAAACCGTGAGACATGCCTCACTAACAACATTTTGAAAGCTTTAGACATCTGTGTTCTATTATTTAGGAAGCTTGGGCTGTGATTGTATCACAGTTACTTGTAGTATCTGGATTATGGTAAGCCAAGGAGAAACCAGTAACTTAAAGACAGCTGTTTCACACATTTGCAATGAGAGGACTGGAATGAATGTTTACAGTGCAAATAATATACCTCATAGCCAGTAATCCTATAACCCAAGCCAGAACCTGAACTCAGATTAATTTTCTCTCTCAATACACTATTGCTAGTTTGGGAATTAAGAATACTGTTTGGTTTTTTTTCAGTTTGTTTGTTTTCTAATGCTGCATTATCTTGCTTGTTGTAAAATACAATTTAATTCTAGGAAATTGTTATTCCATGTGGAATACAACATTCTTGCAAAGGAAGATAAAATGCAAAATGTTAAAAAGAATTTTATGCCTACCTCATTGCTATTGTTTAGTCTGGAGAAGAGGAGGCTCAGGGGAAACCTCACTGCACTCTACAACTTGGCTGTGATGAGGAGGGGTTTGGCCTCTTCTCCCAGGCAACAGCAGAACCCGAGGAAATGGCCAGAAGTTGTACCAGAGGAGGTTTAGGTTAGACATAAGGAAGAACTTTTTCTCTCAGAGAGTGGTCAGGCCCTGAGATGGCTGCCCAGGGAGGTGTGGTGGAGCTGCTGACCCTGGCAGTGTTGAAGAGGTGTCTGGATGAGGAGCTGTGAGGTATGGTTTAGTAGCTGTGGTAGCAGTGGTAATGGGAGGATGATTGGACTAGACCATCTTGTAGGTTCTTTCCAACCTTGTGGTTCTATGATTCCATAATTCTACAAAAGGACTCAAAAATACGCCTTTCAGCTGTGTTACTTTGTGTAAGTGAAAGAAATACTCTGCTTTTGGACTACCTTGGTAACAAAACTGCTGAATATATGGAGCAATGCCAGTGAAGCTAGTGAAGCCCCCACGCAGAACACCACTCTTACCTTTCCTGTTTCAACACAGTGTTTGATACTGTCAAAAGGTAGACAAAATAATGAATCATTTGAATGTATGGTTGGTCAGCAGAATATAT